TATCAAAAAATAATTGAAAAAGTTCCAAGGGAGTATTACTGTGTTCCGGCCCTATCGGTTTGATAAAATGTTGGAAAGTGTGAAGTGTTGCATTTTGGTTCCAAACGAAATTCTTTGCAGTGGTTGCACTTTCACTGCTAGATTCTTCCCGAGGTGCGATATACGTAGATCTACCACACAATATTGATAAAGGTACATCGTCATCATCGGAGTTCAAATCCGTAGCCACTGTTTCACTTGTACCAGTATCACGACACATAATTTCAACAGGAGCGCGCAGTTGACTTCCAGGAAGATTACTTATCTGAACAGACTCTTCATCCCCTGAATCTTCGTCAGTATGGTCTTCGTTTGCGGTTTCAGGTGGCAGAAGAACTATATCAACAGGAGTATGATTGTCAGCCTCGTCTACATCTAAATTCTCAACTTCGAGCAAAAGATCATGCAAGCTCAATGGCTTATGCCAATAGCTGAAAAAATAACTTATTAGATACCGATATTACTAGCGTCCTTTTAAAAGAACGGCTTCATAAAGTGCACAATAAGCACAACTAAATTTAGTTAAATTGTTGCTAAAGGCCAGTTCACCACATTACTAATCTTTAATGGACTAGGAGAATGTATAATTTGAATAAAAATAAACGATATAATACCTGTTACGTACCTCCAATTATCCATGGTTCTCTCGAAAAATTTACTCGGTATTAGAACAATGACTCACTGTACACGTGTTGTTGTATTTACAAAGTAGTAAGATTAAAATGGCGCGTAAAGTGTCAACGAAAGAAATTAAATGCAATATTAGTGGTTCCATCTCGTTTCGACGATTTATGAACCGAAAAACAGTGCACTGTTTTGCGTCCTTTTTAAAGGACTATAGTAATATCTGGGTTGATTGTTTTTTTGTTATGTGTGTGAAATATTGATTCTTTAGGAATTCCAGCGGAGCCTGTGATTCAACATTATCTTAATTTACTTGACAACCATCATAATAATAGGTATGCATTTATGGCATTACAGACAACTAATTTTGCTATAAAGTTTAATATTAATTTGTTGGCTGGGTTTTTTCTTGGTCAGTTCTTTTTTTCCAGCCTATTGTTATATTTGTACTCGGGGAACTACCATTTTCTAAATTTAAACATGCAATGCGCAGTATTTGGATTAAATCTCCGTTTTTAAAGCATGTACTTGTTTTATTTGTATTCCTTACTTGTTGCCACTCCGACAGGTAACACATATCTTGTAGCGACTCTTAAAAACACAACGTGTACGTGGTCCTATTATTCGGTCATTCAAGTTAGGTAGCTTTGTCTAGACGATCACGTGCGATGGAGTTCAGTTAGTTTGGGAGGTAAAGTTTTGAATTTGAATCTTGAGTTGCGCAGTCTCTCGGCTGGCTTGGGTACTTTACAATTGCAAAGTCGTAGGTCTACTTTGATTTTTTTGGCGTTTTTATTTTCTGAATTTTTTGAGGAAAAAATGTTACTATCGGCTTTAAATTTGCTGCACGATCATTATATTCTATTTTGAACAGTTTTTCGGATTTTCTGAAAAAATCCAGTTAAAAGATAAAAACATCAAAATGTCACAAATTAGTTAAGTTAGTTTCCAACGAAAGCACAGCTGTTTCCCAGAAGCTCACTTAGAAATTTTTTTTCGTTTACAAGAGACGACGAAACAATTATGGGGACGCATTGTACTGAGACGTTATAACGTTACGCAACTTCAGGAACCGTTACGAGAATTTTCGTGACATAAAAATCAATTTTTCTTCATGCGGCTGTTTTTCATTTTTTAACAGCCAAAATGTAATAATATTCACGAATAACGTGTGTAGAAGTATTCACGATGTTAATAAGGGATCATTGACGTTTTTGAACAATCTTATATACAGATTTACTGAAAATCTACTCCAAATACATTTGCAATGTGCCTCTAACCGAAACGTCACCATAGAGACAGATATTCTATAGATAATTGATGAGATATAAGTCGAACCAATGTTCTCTTCACATGGTTAGAACTTCTGCCAACATTAATGGATTAAATATTAACCGTCGCAATATTGGACTGTCAACTGCAAAAATCACGTTAAAAGGTCTTAAAATATTCAATCTCATTTCACGTTGTGAAATATAAATACCATTTGAGGTTGTTGCAAATGAAATATTATTGATTCAAAATGGTTCCTCTTAGTGTAAATGTTCGTATTTAACGCTTACAAACATTTTGATGGAAGCGACGATGTTTTATTCGGAAACCGATTTAAACTTTGCCGTTGTGTATAATTTTCCTTTCCCTGCATTTTTCGGCAAAATCTTTTTTATAATGGACTCCTTTATTTGCGCCCCTTTTAAAGCTTTTCTTATTTAAAGTGGACCCTTTCAACAAACTGTAGGTAATCTAGTTATACATTCAGTCACTCCATGTGTTTTTAAGAATGCGTTTTGTCATTATTTTCTTCATAGGTACAAGTATCGTACCTACACTTAAAAGTTGTCTATGCGTGCACTTTCAAATTATATTAGTAGGTAGGGCATGGATAATTAAAAAAGTTTTCTACTTATGCCGTTCTTTCGAAAAAGATTAGATTTTCCTCGACGTTTCCGCGAGTATTCCCTGCCAGATGTATATTATTGTTCTGTTCCCCAAAAGTAAATGTGGGAAAACGATTCCTTTCGTGATTTATCTGACCTTTCATCGGGTTCCGTTACTGTTGGGGAGATTGGTTTTGAATTTACACCAATTGAATTATCTCGCACATTTCAACGCACTACTCCATATTACTTTAGCTTCATATTCCCAGGGGATGTTTGTCACAAATTACAATCCCGTTAATGATTCTTCCAATGCAAAACAATGACGGGGACCCCCATCGACTTGCAATGGGATCCACGGGGTGAAATCAACCCTTGAAATAAAAAATTCGTAGATTTCGCAATCCATGAAAGCATCGGAGACATTGGAAATGATAACCGTATAACGCCATACGTAAAACACAAATAACCCTTATTCGCCCGAGATCACTTGCTCCACTCGCTTCGCTCCCAAGCTCGCTCGCGTCGCAAACGTAAACTTTCTGAATAATAGCCTCTAACGTGAATTTTAGATTGGAATTACACACTATTAAGTAAGTACCGTATCGACAGTATCCGTGACTTTTCCTTAACCTACCGATTGCGGCCGAGTACAGTGCAATCATCACTTGTCTTTTCTGCTTGGAATGTCACTGACATTTATCCAGTGAATTGCAGTGCAGTGAATTTCGGACCAATTTCGTTAAGTAAATGACAAAGCAAAGTGTTTCGATAGGTGGGAACCAAATCTTATGGTTCTCATACCGTAGTGAACTTTTTAGGCGAATGTCAAAGCTTTTAAATGTGAGTGTCTATCGAAGGAGGATTCTCAGGGGCTGGATATTAAACTAGGCCCAGAAATGCACGCTATGTCAATTATTTGTTAGTCGCGTCCAGCTCTTTTAATGAGCATCTGCCACATTTGGAGCAGCTTGTCGATCCACTTAACCAAACTAACTGTTGTTCTAAACTTATGCGATTTTATAATTTGATTGGGTAAAATAGCATGTGTGTATAAACAATTAATTAATAACTTCAATATAAATAAAACTAGTATTATCATACAATTCCCCTTAAGCGTTTAATTCCTATAAAATACAATACTAACCTCACTGTGAATTTAGAAAAAAACTAAAGTTTTTTGGAGGGAAGTTAAGTTTTTACGGCACATCCATACTACCAATCGTGCCTTCGCAGACCACGATTAAACCTCTGTTATTCGAAATTTTCCCCGACCAAATGCCGTTAAATGGCTTACAGATTTTTTCAGTTTGTGTAATTACTACCGTCGTTTCAGAATTTCACATAGTGATGATTTTTGGATGCGCTTCGTTGACATATATTATTTTCGCTTGGTGAGTACCGACTGTTTCCTTTAGCAATTTGACTCGAAAAACTTATACCTAAAAATGTGGCACCAAAGGTGGAGAGTTTGATTTTCATCAAACAACCCAAATTTACTCGGTAAAATACAAACCTCTTGTATAAGTGAAAAGATCAAAAATAAAATTTTAGAAGTTATCATATAAGTTTGTAATACAATAATATTTTTGGTTAGTAACACAATTGTGTAACTACCCACTAGAATAGCATTGGTCACATATTAATACTTTGGATAATAAATGTGCTTCGCTTTAAATGAGTGCTATTACCTATTACTATGTAACCTAAATTTAGCCACACAATAATATTTGTATACATATAAGGATGGTGCCTTACCCCTGCGCCAGCTAGCTCTGGGCGGGGTCGTAAAATAATATATTTTAAGGGCGCCAAATTCTACAGCCAGTGAAGTGACGTCCTTAGAATTATCAGGACGCGCTGGCCTAACTACCTTTATAATAAACTGCTGTTTAACGGGGTATATAAGTAATTTTATTGTAGTGCATAAGCGAGCGAGGTAAGAGGTGATAATGATAAGATGTGACAACCCAAATGACGAATTAATGACTTGATTTATGACAATGACTAAGTAATTACTAATTAACAATTAAATCAATCAACTTCAACTTGGCAGCGAACACAAGTGGGTGGACAAAGCTTTACCTAAGGCGGGTGTAACGTAAGCTTACTTTACAGCGTCTTATTATAACTACTAACTCGTAGTTCAAGGGGGTAATAGTCGGTCTAACAAATAAAATGATGGAAGTGACCGGTAATTTGTTGACGCTTTTACAGTGGTAAGTATAAACCTTAAGAATTTATTGAACGTAATTATGAAATTATACAAGATGGATAGTGATGTGCCATGCCTCTCTTACTCTTACCCCTGCTCAGAGATTCTATTTACACGTATTCCGGTGAGTACATAAATGGTTCTTCAAAGTGTGTAAAGCTATTTTCTTTTTCCCCAGAGCTGGAACCAGCGATGGTATCGATGAATACGGAGTAGATAAATGTTGACAGGGAAGATGTTCGGGTCTTAACGAAAAACAAAACGGGTATGCGAATCTGGTTACTAAATTTGTCATAAAACTGGTAGCATAAAACTTGGATCAAAAGCTAAAATAGAATCTGTAAGATTACTGTGATTATGAGATTAATACTAACCCAGAAGGATCTGGCTTTTGCTCTTAAGTAAACTAAATAATTGTACTAATATTATGATGTATATAGTTACAACGGCTGTATCATCCAAAGCTACCTAAAATTATTAACGATTAAGTAATTTTTAGCGTGGCGACCACACCCTCACCAGCTGAATCTTCTAAATCCCAAAATAATGAGAATTTTCAAGGGCTATGCTAACAACACTACTAAAGAGCCTCTTGAAATAACGTAAGTAGCTTACTTAATCCGTAACAATAACGATAATTAACTATGTAATTATTTGTAGCAACTACCACGATGAAGATTAGCTTCAAAAGTGTCCAAAATTGGTCAAGGTAAAGTATATCACAATCAGAAGAATGTGACCTGATAACCCCCCACAAGATAGATGTTTAAATTTTGAATTTCGCGGAAATATATGCAACCCAAATTACATGCTGTTAATGAAATTGAATGTTACAACATCCCCCTTTACCCCGTTAAAAAAAATTAATTTATTAATTTTTTTTCCTAAAACTAAGCTGCTAATAACTACCTAAACTAAAGATCTTGTTTATCTAAGCAATTTTTTAAATCTTTTACATTCCACACCCCTTTATTAACACCTTTATCATCTTTTAATTCATAGGTCCAGGGATTTAGAAGATTCAGCTGGTAGCTTTGGATGATACAGCCGTTGTAACTATATACATCATAATATTAGTACAATTATTTAGTTTACTTAAGAGCAAAAGCCAGATCCTTCTGGGTTAGTATTAATCTCATAATCACAGTAATCTTACAGATTCTATTTTAGCTTTTGATTCAAGTTTTATGCTACCAGTTTTAGGACAAATTTAGTAACCAGATTCGCATACCCGTTTTGTTTATCGTTAAGGCCCGAACATCTTCCCTGTCAACATTTATCTATTCTGTATTCATCGATACCATCGCTGGTTCCAGCTCTGGGAAAAAAATAGCTTTACACACTTTGAAGAACCATTTATGTACTCACCGGAATACGTGTAAATAGAATCTCTGAGCAGGGGTAAGAGTAAGAGAGGCATGGCACATCACTATCCATCTTGTATAATTTCATAATTACGTTCAATAAATTCTTAAGGTTTATACTTACCACTGTAAAAGCGTCAACAAGTTACCGGTCACTTCCATCATTTTATTTGTTAGACCGACTATTACCCCCTTGAACTACGAGTTAGTAGTTATAATAAGACGCTGTAAAGTAAGCTTACGTTACACCCGCCTTAGGTAAAGCTTTGTCCACCCACTTGTGTTCGCTGCCAAGTTGAAGTTGATTGATTTAATTGTTAATTAGTAATTACTTAGTCATTGTCATAAATCAAGTCATTAATTCGTCATTTGGGTTGTCACATCTTATCATTATCACCTCTTACCTCGCTCGCTTATGCACTACAATAAAATTACTTATATACCCCGTTAAACAGCAGTTTATTATAAAGGTAGTTAGGCCAGCGCGTCCTGATAATTCTAAGGACGTCACTTCACTGGCTGTAGAATTTGGCGCCCTTAAAATATATTATTTTACGACCCCGCCCAGAGCTAGCTGGCGCAGGGATTACATCGCCTTACCATCCTTATATGTATACAAATATTATTGTGTGGCTAAATTTAGGTTACAACTAATCGCGTAATTGCACTGACTGCACTTAATATCCTTGGAAGTTCTGAGGGCCACTAAATGTGCTTTGAAAAAGTTCTTAAAAATTAACCGCTTAATTGCACTGATTTCACTTAATCTTAGCACTTAATATTCTTGGAAGTCTTGTGTGCCAATAAATGTGTCTCAAATTTTATTTATCATTAGTTGGGCAAGTACACTCGTTACATTTAAAATCCTTTGAAGTTTTGTGTGTTAACATGTACTTTCCCAAACTGGATACGCGATCCCTTGCATTATAGCACTGACCACATTTTAAAACTTTTTAACAGCTGTACTTTTTCTACAGCTTCCACTTCTGAAAAATAATTTGATTAGGTCATAAGTTGTTTGTTTATATATTTGCTTAAAACTTAGGTACTTCTGTTTCCCTTTAATCTCATGACATAATCTAAAGCATTTTAAATGTAACGAGTGTGCTCGCCCAACTAATGATAAATCAAATTTGAGACATTTATTGACACACAAGACTTCCATGAATATTAAGTGTCAAGGATACTATAATCGTTGAGTGAGGGCTATAATATAATACCTTGTTACGTTCACTTTGGGCCAACGTGACAAAATTACCTTAGATAAGCACACGGTAAGCTCAGGCAAAGTAGAGGTGGGTCGGGGTGAAAATGGGGTTCTTCTATACACACACAAATAAGCCAAAAAGGGAAGGAAACAGTAAAAGTAATCCGGATAGGCGCCACTTAGTCTTTGATGAAATTAGAGAGAGAGGAATACTAAAGGGATGAACAAGGCAGACCAAGAGATCCTTGTTCTCGTCTTACTAAACTCAAATGAATACACAATTATGGGGAAAACAAACAGTATTAATTGATGTACAAATGCGGGTAGTTTAATAACAAAGATCTCAAAATATCACAAATCTGACACTGTAATATATCGATCTAGTATATCAAACTGGGAATTTAAAATAATCTCTAATAAAACAAATGAGAAGCCAACACGTAGCCTGGGGAAAATATTTATCCAAAAGGGCTTCCGCAGAAACAACGGAGCTATAATCATTAAGTGACTTTCAAACAAAGTAATAATCACAACTCGTTAGTATCAACAACCAAAATGTAATCAAACGTTAAAAGGGAAAAACGACGAAAATAACTAAATTTACCTTGAACTCCGGTCGCAACCTTCCGAGCTCAGAGGACGCGAAACTGCAAATCTGAAAACAGTCAGACACAAAAACAAAAAAAAATATAAGAAGGGTAGTGATTCGCGTTGCACAATATATCGCATAAGCAATGGTTAACGTAAGACACGAATGGTTATTCTTGTACGTAGAATTGCAATCAATACTAAAAAGAATCAAAAATTCAAATGACTTTACAACAAAACAAAATTTGGTTCGACTAAGGGTTGGTTTTCACAATCGGTATGAGATATCAAAAAAATGACATGAAATTTTAAGAGAAAAATACTATAAAAATGTACAAATAAAATAACTGAATCTATCTTCAATGACAAAGCAATCTTATCAATTCAAAAGAAATTACACGAGCAAGTTCTTCAAAACAAAATACATAACGTTAATTAAAAATTTACACAGTACTAACTCCACACGTCTCGTTAATTAAGTACTTGCGTTTCGGAGGAATGAATCAAAGGTCAACGAACTTCGTAAAATTGGGTCAGCAGTTCAAATATCGGTTTCACATGAAATGGCGGTGATTCTTCAGTCGGTAAGGTAGAAATATGTAGAGCGTTTTTGATTGTAATGGCGTCGAAACTTCAATGGAATTCTATTGCACCATATGGAAAATCGGGTATTCGCGTTTCCACGTCAAAATATCAATGTACAGTCAGGAAGCAATTGGTAAAACCAAAATAATAAGTAAGAAAACTTAGGGAGTACGAAAGTAGCCTAAAATAGATTATTTAAAATAAAAAGATAATGCGTCATAGATAACATACCGCAAAACGGCCTTAAACTTGTAAGATAAATCCGCAGCAATGCGTCATCAGCGAAATTGGAAGTAAGATGATAAGAGAAAACTTCACTAATTTTAGTACAACACCACTAATTAAATCCCAATAAAGGTAGACGAATATGTCAAGTAAGTGTAATGGCGTGTAGTTCAAATACAAGTCAAGATCGAATCGAGTTCTTCAACAAGGACTGCGCGCGTCGACAGTGAGTGGGAGAAGAATAATCGCACCAATCAACAGAACACTAGACAAAAGCTTTTTAAAAGAAAACTATATCGCAAATAAAGGATCGGGTTATAATGTGGCGTAAGGATTGCTATATAAAGGTAAGAGTTCGCATAATGTTATTCGAGAAGGATTCCACATAGTAATTCAAATATGAGCCAAAGCAAAGATTACACGGTAAAGAAAATAACGTCACAACCTACATAAAATAGGATCGCAATACTACCAACTGAAGAACGCACATAACCTCTTCTCTCCAGCGGAAAGTAAAAACACTGCGATGCGGGAAAAACGTTTTCCGGTGCATCGAGAATACTTGGAAACATGAAAAATTGTTACTTTCAATATAGGTAATGGAACTGTCAATCTTTCGCTGGTAGTAAGTACGCTATAATCTTCATTTCGACGTTTATCCTCATAGGGATAGTTATTATAAGGACCCATTTTCCAAATAATCGAATTGGTAGTCAAGCATGAGAAATCTCCTCCGATGGAAATACACAAATTGTTTTCCAAACGAACGTTGTCGAGTACAAAATGACGTTCTCGAATTAATTTTAGTCATTCAAAATATAGTCGATTGATTCAACATGCGCATGTTCATCACCGTATTCATATTGGATAAATGTATAATTTTACATATTGAAACTTTCTAATTATGTACTGCTTAGGGCTGTATCGCGGAGATTTAGTTTCACAGCCAATAAGTAACTATTTTCGTAGGCGTTGCGTCTATACCTACAGACAGTATGTTCCTGATTTTACTTTATGTGTTCAATGAATATTCAGTAATTAACGTTTACATCTCACGGTATGCCTTTCAGTGTAAACTAATCATTTCTGTATTCCACATTTCCACTCACCACATCCGGTAGTATAATTAATACGTTGTAGATGCGAATAAATTGGCTAATGCCCACAAAAACCAATCCGGAAGTTTACTTTAGAGCTTTAAAAAAAGGGTTCCCATTTTTTAAATTTTTTAGCTTCGTTATTCAATCAAAACGAGATGCGGTTATTACATTTGTTTCTGTATGTTTTAGCGCTTTTTAAGAACTAAAAAAATTTGCTAATGTTTGATTTTTGTCCGTCCGTTCGAACCCACGTCTGCGGTTTTAACCCTCGCGGAACCAAGCCAACTCAGTTACCTCAAAGGTTTTTTTTAGCGTAATTTGGTAAAAGTTTAATTTTCACGCATGATGCTTTAGCTAATCCTCAAATACACTTACACAGGCACATTTACATTGCAACTGTACATTTATCTAGTGTAGATTGTTTTGTGGCTAGGGGGGGGGGGGGGGTTAAGCAGATACTTCGCTTGGTCCCCTATAAAATTATGCCGAGCTAAAGCGCGTCGAACTTGCCGAAATCAATCACATCCAACGGAATTCGTGATAACTTGGGAGGGGGGGGGGAATGTTCTACTGACGATGGGAGAACTTAAGTATGTCAATATCTAAAATACCTTTCGTGTCGGCCGATCATGGTGTAGGTAGATTTCTTTCCGCCATTTTGCTCCAATATGGCGAAATTGGACGATTCGGATGATTCACGAACTTGACCGAGACATTTCTGAGTTAAACCAACCTTTAAAGTTTGGTTAAAATCGGTTCATAATTAAGAAGGTTAGAGTGTTTCTTGGAAGTGGTACCATTACAATAGGTGACACTGTACTTAATATAAAACATTTTTTTCCATCCGTCCTCTATTTCCTCTTGTTCTGTTTCCCCTTTTCCTCTGTTTATCATTTTCCAAAAGTCTCTCTCCGTTTGTAACAGTTTATTTTAGAAAGTGCTTATTTTTGATTGAGATTCGCTGACATACCTAAATGCTGTCATTGCGTTTACTTGCCCCATCTGTCAGTCGATTTTTCATTAAGGCCTCAAGGCGCATTCCATTGGGCATCTCCAATTTCCTCTTTCGGCATCTATTGTAAACAATCTGTACGGTTCTGAAAAGAACCGATTGTAAATAAATTTTGGAAAAAAGCGATTATGTTCAAAACTTGATAACTTGGAAGCGATTGAATTTAGGTCATTGCAGCTTTCAAAGTTAGCTTAAAATTGAGAGCAAAATTGAAATAAGGAATAATCAACAGGACAGTTCCATTTCAAAAATGCAATTTTGGTGTGCCACATCCTTATCATCAACAGTGTATATATTACTGCCTAGTAGACATTAAATGACCCTGTATAGTTCCTTCGAGAATCGACCGTTTCCAGACTTTTCAGCGACTCTGTATATAACACTCTTGCGTTTCTGACTGACAGACAACGCACAGCCGAAACTGCTACGTGTAGAAAGCTGAAGTTTGGTAGGTTGCTTGGCGATTGTAGGGGAACACTAAGAGAGGACTTCCCGAAATTCCTAGGGGAAAAAAATGAGATTTTACATTTTACAGTAAAAACTGTGGAAGATCTTCCCAGTTTTATACTGGGAGAGTTGAACATTTAAAGAAGCTGGGTGGCGCTGAACTTTATGCAAGCAGGCTACGAGGATGTACGACCAACCGATTCTACTACAGTGAGGAATCTCAATCTTTTATTCTACATTCTGGCCGTTTATGCGCCGTTTGAGTCAAAGTAGGCTACTTTCCGTTATATGTTTTTATTCCCTGGTTTATTCTTAATATTCTTTCTGTTTCTCCATCTTTTTTTTCTTTACATTTTCTGTTGTACTTTTTTCTGTTCTCTCAACTCCATCTCCTTTTCTTTCTGTCTGCATTATTATTGTATCTGTTATATATTT